GCATACTCTGTCGCTGTGCATCATCTGTGCTTTGTGAGCTGCGAGTGGGGATCCCACTGACGAAAGGCTGGTCCGCGGTGTTGGCACTCTTGGAGGCTCGTGCGGGAAGCTTTGAGGGAATGGGGGACTTGGGAGTAAGCTTGCGGCGGCCCTTGGTAGGTGTGGAGGGAGCAGCAGCAGCCACAATGGACGAGGCTGCAGGAGGCTTGCTTGTGCTGCGACTTGCAGACTTAACTGGGGGTCCAGACCCCAAAATTCCCGAATCACCCAAACGCCTCACCCGGCGAGAGCGTGGGGTTACAGTAGCAGCTGCAGTAGTCGGGGTTGGACCGCTCTCGGTGGCCCCACTGTCTGCATTCGCGTCGACCTTTTGTGTTTGGCTACGGCTGCTGCGATGACCGGACTCTGCTTTCTTCGCTGAGCGCTTGCTTTCTGCTTGCGGGCGAGGCGTTGCGCCCACGTCATTCGTGCACCGATCGCCCTCCTCTTCATCCTCCTGGTCGTCCATTGGCTCTTTGTACTCTTCATACTCGGCCATGCGCTCCTCATTCCACGACACTTGCTTTCGCGATTTGGCTAGTGCACCGGTGTTAGTGTCCTGGTGGCTTGAGCCCTCATTTTGTAAATTGCACGGCAAGAGCTCTTCCTCGCTCGGCTGTTGCGCCAGCGCTTGCAAAATGACTATAGGAGTTACAGCTTTGCCTTTGTTGAGCCGGGTGTTGCGCTTTGTGGCCATAGCCATCTGCTGGCTCTCAGTTCGCTGTTGAAAAACGAATTCTGTGCCTTTGGCTCGGCGGAATGAGATAGTGTTGCGCATGCTCGGGGCATTCGCGCCTTTGGTACGGGTGCTTCGACGACATGCAGGGCTTGCAGGAGCTTGTTCTTCCATGATCTCTTTGGGAATGATATCCTCCTTGGTGATAATACCCTCCCGCTCACCCGCACCATCGGCACCACGCTTGACGTCATATTTACTAGGCGAGAACTGCAACTTGACGGGAGAAGGTGAATTGGTTGTCAATTCCTCTAACACGCGGCGTGGTGGCGGTGTTGAGCATTTAACTTCTGGAGACTCCTCTGGGCTAGAACTCATCTCCGTTGATTTCGCATCTCCGGGATGCGTGGCCTTGGCGGCCCGCTTCGCATTCGCCCTGGACAGGAAGTCGTTGAGCAGCTCTGCATTCTCTCCATCCAAGGAGCTTCGCAGTGCCGATCGTACCAATTTGACCTCCTGCTCTTGGGTCAGTGCTTGCACTGACTCCGTGGTGGACACGAAGTTGGTGTTGTCGCGTCCTGTATTGTCGATCACAATCGGCGCGTCTTGGCTGCATGATCTAGACTGCACATCCTGCGCTGCCTTCGCGTCAGATGCAGTAAGATTTAGGTCGGTCGCCACGGCATCGTTGTAGACCGGCGTCTTGGAAGTCTTCCACAGATCGCTGAGCGACTGGGGTGCCGCATTCGTAGTTACGTCGCCGACAGCATCATTGAGCGTTTCCTTGGATGTTTCCTTGGGCTGATTCGCAGTGAGACTAAACACCTCATGGGAGCCCTCGTCATGGATGTTGAAATCGAATTCGGGCATTTTGCCTGCAAATTATCAGATGAAAGGTCTTTCTAAATGCAGGAGCACGGGATGCCACGTGCGATGTGCAGACGCCCCCCATAATTGAGGAAGAAACTTACGTCGTTTACGAGATGCCTGCATCTCCCATTTAGTCTCGAGGAAAGACCGACCGCGTCGCTCAGCCTCAGTGTCTTGGTCCACGCCGGTGGAATCAACACACAGACGCTTCACGCCACGCTGATAATCTGAGTTTTTAGAGGCGCCGACCCCCGTAGTCTGGACTTCTGTCGTGGTAATCATGCTTGTAAACGGAAAGCGAATGCGCTTCCACAGCTTTCGTGTTTTGTCTCCGGCCCTGACAGGCGTAGAAGGTTTACGATCCCACAGTCGCGGCAAGGCGCTGAGGGCTTTGATAGGCGTGAAACTGAAGGAACTCTCAGTGGAATTGTTGGCAGAGCTGCTAGCGCGTAAGGCAGTTGCGTTAGTCTCAAGTCTGTATAGCGGTGTGGCTCAAAATAGGGGAAAAGGGACCAAACACCCGAGCGACAGGCGAGAATGACCATTTAAAGAGAAAAGAAAAAAGATTGAATCCACAAGCCGCAAGAAAGAAACAATTGACCTACCATGCCTGCGGTGAAGGAGGATGGTTTTCCATGATTGTTGACGCGTGTGGAATGTGTCAAAGCCGTTGGAATGTTGGACCAAGTATGTTCGAGATAAATGAATCAAGCCAATTCATCTACTATAAAAATGCAAATCAAAGGATGCAACTGAGTCTGCCCCTCAGTAAAATGTCGGACTGTCGGATTGTCGTGAGAGATGTGAAAGTCATGAAGCGGGCCGTTGGGGTTTTGCTTTGATGTCTTTCCCCCGGTTGCCCTGCCAACCATTGCATGGGAGAGCCCAACGTGGAGATCGGGCGATCATATCATGAATGTATGGGATTTCATTGGAGGTTGTGGTGACGTCTGTTGATTCAATTGCAATCCTTGTCAGAGATCAAATACGGAGTAGTGAATAATTCGATATATATCTTGACTATATATCTTAACCAGAGACTAGCTAGCTACTAAGTACTAGCTGAGCACTACAAACAGCAATACTAGAGCACAAAAGCCTAGAGAGAACGCAAATTGAAATCATATAGTGGCTCTGAGGGTTTGCTATATCCTACATATATTTCCCCTAAAGCTCGGGTATAGGATGTCTTTCTGGAATAGCCATCTACAAGCGTAGTAGGCAACGACACTTCCAGATCGTACCGAATGAGCCTGGAGCAGCTTTCCTTTAAGTTCCATAGCAGTGATTTGAAGCAATTCCGCGTACAAATGTCACCATAGGTAAGCGAAGACTGCCAGCTCATCGTAAACCAAAGTACCAAAAGAACCACAAGCTAAATAAAGTCGTATCTCATTATTCATATCTATGCTGCCCAGGTGGCAGACGGTCTCCAAACATACAAAGACTCATAGCAACTTCTCTGCCAAGTCACGTTCATCAAAAGGATCCCCGAATTCATCTGAACACAAGGTATCCAGTCAGCACACTGTACAGACATCCATGGATGGAAAACCACCCTGCTAGACCAAGTACATATAGAAATCCACATACCTAGCGAGAAATCCTTATCAATGACATACTCCATAGCACGCTGATATTCCTCTTGAGCACGCTTGCTCTTCCACGCCGCGATATTCGAGTCAACCGTTTTCTCCGCAGAGTCTCCTCCGCGCTGTTCCAGCGCAGCCCCAATGCCACCAACAGAGACTCCAGCTTCTTGCTTTGTCTGAGAGCCAGGAGGGGAAAGCTCCGATACGTCAACGCCAGCCGAGGAAGCTTGGGCGGCGCCAGTTGGAGTGCGAGCGCCGGCTCTAGCACCGTCGTCGGGCCGGATGGAATCGACAGAAGAGGTCATGGTAGAGTCGCCGTCTAGGTCCTTGGGGTCTAGTAAGTGTTTGTTAGTAGATTTAACCCCGGAGTCTCTAGTTTGTAGCATGGAATAAGAGGCCGGTGCACATGTGGGTATGGAGCACTATCGATATCGCGGGGCCCACTGTGCCCGGCTACATCGTGTAGCTTGTGAGGGAATAGGAGAGACCTACCAATCGCCATTGTTGGGAATTAGCAGAAATGGGTTCGATGGTCGGTTTCGTAGTTTCGAAAGTTCTCAGACTTCAGGGCGCGGGGAGTGGAGAGATCAACGGTCGACAGGCGGTGGCCCCGGGCTCGCATGAATTTTCTTCTTCCTTCTTCCCCAGTTTATATACTGCATGAACATAAGAGTTATTGCTGGCTTTCGTGTTTAGCATATTGTCATCAATTTTTTTTTTCAGTATCCTTCTCTATTCTTAATCCTGCAACCGTCATTATGAGTGCAATGAGCGCAAACTCCGGTGCAGTTCCCGATGCCTGGGAGGATTCCTGGGAAAATCAAGCAGATGTATGTAATCTCAGGGAATTATGTGACATTTGGGACAGACACTAGTCTGCTATCAAATTCTACTCAATGCTTGTAAGCTGTGATGGCATGCTGATCGTCATCGTTTACAGAGACTCGACTCCAATTCTACCCCGCCAGCCGAGAAGAAAGTCTCATCCAAGGTGACCAAAGCGCAACGCAGGGCGGAACAGGCCGAGTTCAATCGTCAGCTATGGGCTGAAGCGTAAGTTTCAATCGCCACCTAGCTTTTGTCATTCTTTGGGTTGTTCAAGAGACTGAACTGTGTTGCAGTGAATCCGCAGAAACATTTCACTTCGTCGAAGCGCGCGCCGATGTTCCTCTTAAGCAAGACTTCAAGCCCGCAGTTACACTACTGAGTCGGAAACCCCAGCTTGTGACAAGACATTCATCATCTTCAAGAACAATCAGTGCCGCAACGGCTGGCCTTGGCCGACTCGGACTAGACGAAGACGACGACTCGGACGATGACACTAAGCCGCCCCAGCCAACACCAGAGGAGCGCCATGCTATTGCACTGAAGAATCGGGAGGAGAAGCAGCGGAAGTACGAAGAAGTGCGCGAACGTCTATTTGGAAGCCCATCTGCTACAGCCTCGGGTACCTCGTCGGGCGGTAGTACGACCCCGCCTCGTCAAACTCCTACAGGCGAGGGCAGGGTGAGAGGGAAAGGACGTGGCGGCGGAAGAGATCACCAGAAGAGAGACTCCTCGTCGACCTCGAGCAAGTCCAGACATCTCTACGATCCCTCCACTTCCAAGTCAAGTGCACCCTTCCTACAGAGAGGTGGCCGTCCGCAAGTCGAGCGAAGCGGCTCCGACACTCAAGCCCCACAGCAGCCGGTGCGCAGTCCTCGAGGCCCTGATGCAAGTGGGAGGGGTGGATTCAATTTCAATCGAGGTGCTAAAACAGGCTAATGTACATTTGGCCAACACCTTTTCGTCCCAGGACGCCATCAGATACCGTTGTTCTGGTATTAAGGGAGGCCCCGTCCTGCGTTAATTGCATTTGCGACTTGGGATGTATTTGGACGGTTCTCTGTCACATGAAGCGTTAGCAGTGCTATTGAAAAAGGCATGCGAGCGATACTCACGGGCATATCGCTCATAGCTGTCGTGGTACAACTCGTCCGTGCTAGTTGTCGCCTGCACATGCGGATCAGTCTCGATTGCATTCACCCAAATGGCCAGCCTGCTTCCCTCCTCGGCATCTGGCCATCCTCGGTATGGTTTCAGGACCCGCCGCAGCCGAATGATCCACGGTGCAGCTTGAACGTCCACAAGGGACATCTGCGGACCCATGAAGAAGGGCCCCGAAGGATGCGCTACCTCGAGCAGCTTCTCCATCGCATCTCGCAGCTCCTGTGTCTTCTCGATCTGTTTCTGTTGGTCCTGCTCTTGCAGTATACGGTAGAAACTCGGCACGATATGCCGATTGACCTGGAGGGCTATCAGTGATGATCCAGAACAGACCTGTGTGTCTACTTACATGATCCGCCCACAATCGGCAATGGGCGCGCAGCTTTGGGTCTACCGGAAGCATTGCAGCCCCTACACCCAGGTCCTCCAGCTGCGAGGGATTGGTCAGTGAGAAAAATGGGAAATTGGCCATTCGGTTTTCTTACATATTCCAACAACACATTGCTTTCATAGCATCCCCAGTCGTCGTGGCGCAAAGCAGGAACAAGCCCTCTTGGATTCACCTCTAAAAGTGACTGGGGCTTCTCGTACGGATCCACTTCGATGTATTGATACGGGATACCTTTCAGTTCCAATGCGATCCATACCCGTTGCACGAAGGGGCTACAAATGCAGGTCAAGTCAATACACAACAAGATTTCGTCAGAACGGTTGAATTTGGGAGGATCTCACCAGAAGCAGCTCCCAAATAGCTTGAGATTAACATCGGCAGAGTGTTTGATCGCAGTTTCAGCGGCCAGACCCGTCGCTTTTGTATGGTATGATTTTTGGCCTGTTCGAGACATGACTCGGTCCTATTGTGTATTCTGTGTTAAATCTGCACAATTCAAAATGCTAGAAATGGAAACAAAAAGATGAAGACGAGATCTTTCGTATGTGGGAAGTATGAAGTCAATGTAGACTTGTGACGTAGCCGGCGGGGATACTCGTTCACGTCTGTGCAATTGAACACAATAAAACAGGATTAACATACCGCTCTCGTCCTCTTATCTTTCTTTTCCTTCAGAATGTATCGTTGCACACTGCTTTTCTTGACGCGATCACTTTCTTCAAGTGTATGTTGATGACCGCCGCTCACTCCGTCGTTCTTCCCGTTAGCCCCATTGCCATTCACCCGCTGTATAGTGAAATATCTCCCACCGTTTGATCCCGGGTGATTTGGTGGTAGACCAGGATTTGGCGTGAGCATACCGAATGTTTGGACATTTCGGATCGCGGAGTCGTCATTCAGAGAGAAAGTATACATGCCAGGTAAAATGTTAGATGGTAAGGGCTCGACCGCATCGGTCAGATTCGATATTTCGGACACTGGGAAGTATTCCACGACTTTGATTTTAACATGGCAGAGATCTCGTTCTCTGGCCGTACGCTTGCGCTTCTTTTTTCTGGGTCGTCGGATTTGGGGGTTCCGGGTGGTCGTCCTTTGAGTCGACAGTCCCAGTAATGGGAGACGAAGGGTTTACGCTTGTACCGCTGCGTGGAGCGATGAGAGTATACATTGTCAACGTGCGGGAAGTAGGTTTGGAATCTGTAGAAATGTGCAAGTCAGCCTCTAGTAGGGTATGAATAATTCCAACAATGGAGCCTGCATACTCCTCTTCGCTTAGGGTGATCATTTCATCGACGTTGAATAATCTATTTCTCCAGTAATCCAGATTCGGAGGGTTCGGGACCACTTTGAAGCCTTGCAGTTCTCCGGGCCCATTGAAGGCCACTGAATCCGTGGAGCCAGTATCCAGCTCGATGAAGTCTGATTGAAACGGTTGGCCTTGGGACTGCAGCGTTAAGCTGTTATTCTGAGTTTGATGCGCGTTGTTTCCCATAGCTAGATCATTTTGGGACAACGATGCTGGAGGTGCCATTTGTCCAGCAGCAGCGCCATGTAATGCCCCGCTCATATTCGCTGCATGAGCGACGCCATTGTTGTAGTCCTGCGATTGATCTAAACCACAGGATTGCCCTTGCGGTTGTAAGTGCGAGGCAACTCCATTGCTAGGGTGACCTGGGTGCTGCTGTGTGGATTGAGACGTAGTGATGAAGTTGTTCGCCGACTCGCCTGATCGTGGAGGACGAATAAACGCATGCGTCGCGTTCTGGAGCTGTGATTCAGTTTCGGTCGGGGGACGGAATGGCCCGAAGGGTTGCGATTCCGGGTCAAATTGGCCTAACTGTAGGTTAGACTGATCGTTTATTGACATTGAAGGTCCCAAGCGGGGCGACGACAGTCGCAGCTCAGAGTCCATCTTGTAAACAATATAAAGTTGTGGAGAGGCGTGCTGCTTTTGAGGAGAAAAAGGACGGTTGAAGCGGCATTGTGGGGTTAAGGGAAGCTCGGATCATCATGAGGATCTCAGGTACAAGAAAAAAACGGCTTATATGGATTATCTTTTTCGAATTAATGATGAATAGCACATTTATTCTACTCAAAGATTGGGATACGATATTCACATTGAATCTATGGATGCAGTGTTGATTCCAGCCTCGGCAGCTTACAGACCCTTGTTATGTTTCTTTGCTGCTTCCGAGTTCTTGAAAGGGAACCCTGCTGTCCTCTTGTCTGCACCGTTACGGCGACTGATCCTTCCATTGCTGCTGCCAAAGAGCATGCACCACAACCCAATGGCCGCAATAGTAGAGTATCCAGCAACACCAACAGCAAAGATACCCGATCCACCGGAAACATACCAGGTGTACGCGTAAAATGCACATGTGGTGTGGAAAATAGAGGTCACCATCAGAGTTGGCACAGCGTATGGTGCTTTGGGATCGTCGTCCTCTGTTGACACAGACTCCCTGATCCCGGCCGTCAAGGGGATGGAGCCGGTTAGCATCAGGGTCAAAACGGCAATTGTGAGAAGACTGAAGCCGAAACACCGGGCGAAGTATAATTCAATGGCTTTTCAAGAACGAAAGGTTAGCATGGCTCGTAAACGGGTGCGCGCGGCACTTTCAGGAGGTAGGCCACATACGGGAAGCAGGCCGAGTCTCATCCAAGAGCAGGGTCACTATCATGCTCGGTCCGGCTATCAAAGGTAGACTCTGAAGCGACAGCCATGCGGCTGTCGTGTATGTGTAGGCGCGAAAGACCTGTCGAGTTAGCTTTTGGCTCCGGCTTCGAGGTCTATCTTCCATCGCTTGGAGACAGTAATAGGATTGGCTCACATCCATGGTGGCAATTCGCTAGTATGTGTTTGAATGGGATTGAGATTCTCGCGAAATTGAAGTAGTTCGTATCAGAAATGGGGAGAAGTTGAAGCTTCTGGGCGATCATTTCCCAAGGCTGCTACATTATAAGCAAGTGACGTCATACAGCAACATTGCCGTTTGACTTGTTTGCAAAGGTTCAACTGGTACGTGTTACTATATCAAGGCGAAGACAAAATAGACTAAGATGATATTTAATTACTTTGATATTGACTAGGGTGAATGCAATGAATGAAATGCGCCTCTAAGACCACAAACGCCGTAAGCCGAGCCTATTCAGAACAACTAAGACCCTTTTGTGACAGATTGCTTCACTGTTGCATATTGCTTGCGCGCAGATATCTTGTGAAGCTGTTATCCTGCTCTGATGGAGTACTTTGTGAACCTGCCAGAGCCTCCTGGTAACGTTGAGTAAGACCCTCATCATTGCCAGCGTTAGGGCCCACGTAGTCCTCATAGTCACTGTCTTCTCCATCTGCCAATCCACGCTTGATGATATCATCTTCTTCGTCTTCGGCTTCACTGACAGTCTCAGGCTCCTCGGTGGGTTTCCTCGGCGGCTGCCGGCTTGACCCAGACACATTCATGTCTTTCATTAATTTTCCGAGTTCAAGCTCCCGCTGGGATGATGATTGCTCTTCGCGCTCTTTCTTCTTGCGCTCCAATTCGGGCTTGTAGTCACGTTCAAACTCCTGTCGCTTTGTCTCCACAGCCTCGAAGAACTCCTCGACACCATCGCCGGTCATTGAGCTGACGCCAACGACGCTGAGGTGTCGATAGAATTCTTCCAACATGAGACTCATGCTGTTCAGAAGGGAGCCCATGTATCCACTGCCAGAACCAAAGCCACCGGCACCGCCCTCAGCTCCAAAGGCTCCCGCGTCTTCCTCCTGCCGCAGAGCCTGCTGGAATGCATCAAAGTCGGTCATCCATTCCTTGGCAAACTCAGCATCCTTGACGTCAGTCTTGTTGAAGACCAAGATCATGGGGAGCTTGGTCTTGTACAAGATACTGCATGCGTACAGCATGTTGCTCATGAAGGTGCTGGTAGAGCTTGCGCGAGGCGTATCGATAACATATGCGATGACCGTTGGGAATGATGTCGCCATAGTCTCGAGAAGGATACTGCCCGATGCACTCCAGACAAAGACTTCGATTTGGCCAGGTGTGTCGACCAAGATGTGCTTGATTGGTGTTGCGGAAGGGTTTTCGGGGTTCGGGGCGGTGCGTTTCTCTAGGAGCGAGATGATTTGATCGACCTTGGTGGCGAACAGATTTAACGAAGTCAAGATTCCTCCGTTAGGACCCAGGTTGTACTGCTTCATCACTTCTTTGTAATTAATGGAGTCACGTATATCGATGTTGCTCTCGAAGGGCACCGAATGCACCGCGGGGTCGAGGTTGATCACATACGGCACGGTCTTCTTTTCATGCAGATAGGAGTTGATTCTTTGCATGAAGGTAGTCTTGCCTGAGCCTATTCAATCCATAACACTGACGATTAGATCATTGTAGATAGGTGAGGGGCGATCAGCATCCTTACCTGCCATGCCCACGCAGACCACGGCCACCGGAGATGCCATGGTGAAGGAAGTTTATAGAAGGATAGACTCGATCAAGCGAATAAAATTACAGAGACCTCTGTAGTCGATTATGTATTGTTCAAGGGTGGAAGACAAGAAGACAAGTGATGAAAGATAAGCTTCTCTTTTCTGTTCGAAATCTTTTTTGTCGCGGGGAAAGATCTACAATTGGACCGCCCGGCATTTTATAAACGTCATTCCACATTTTGCCTTTCTCATCCCTTTTCCACATATCAGGAACACCATGACTCTAGAAGATTTTGAGAAATCATTGGCAGACGGGAAAGAGCCGCGACACGAGAAAAGTGAAGGGCGACATCATCGAGACCGAAACCGCGATCGCGACCGCAGCAAAGAGCGCTCGAGACAACACCGTCATCATTCCGACCACCATCACCGGCGGCATTCCTCCAGATCTCGCGATCGAGACAGCGAGCGAGTTCGCGAGTCCCGGCATCGCGACGACGATGGCCACCGACACAAGCGTTCACGTCGTTCCGACGACCAAGGAGACGAACATGGCCGTAAACGCCATCACCGGAATTCCAAAGATGAGGGCGAATCCACCGCTCCTCCGGTAATAGTACAGGAAGAGCCCAGTAATCTCAAACGGGACGCCTGGATGCAAGCGCCCTCGGGTCTCGACGTTGAATATGTTCATCGACCGGATTCGACGCGACAGGAGGAGCCGAAACCAATAATGCTTTCGGCGGACTACGAACTCAAGATTCATGACAAGGAGCTCAACGACCATCTTCGTGATCTCAAGGATGGAAAAACACTCGAAGAGATAGAAGATGAACCTGCTCAGCACGAGGTGGACTATACTTTTGGGGATTCGGGGTCACAATGGAGAATGACCAAGCTCAAAGGTGTATACAGAGAGGCGGAGGAAAGCGGCAGGCCTATTGAAGATATTGCTACTGAGCGTTTTGGAGACCTTCGCTCCTTTGACGACGCTCGGGAGGAGGAAACCGAGATTGATCGGCGCAAAACGTATGGCAAGTCCTACGTGGGCAAAGATAAACCTAGTGGGGAGCTGTTCCAGGAAAGAAAACTCCAAAATGATATCCGAAGAGGTCCACTCGAACATGTTCGTGATCCAGAGCAGGAACTCAAGGCCGAAGGCCAAGGCAAGAAAATGGACACTGTGCCTCCTCCGAACACTACCCGTCACCTCGATATGACGGCATTGAATCGCCTCAAAGCCCAGATGATGAAGGCAAAGCTTAGAAAAGCACCAAATGCCGCCGATCTTGAGGAACAGTACAATACAGCCGCGGCAGCAATGTCAAACCGCAAGGAGTCCGATGTTGTGGTCCTTGATGTTATGCATAACCCGATGCTAGCAGGCTCTAGGAATGAGGTCAAAGCTGTCGATACTAAAAGGGGCCGGGAAAGAGGCCAGGTGGAAGCAAATGAAGATATGACCATTGAGGATATGGTGCGCGAAGAGCGCAAGACCCGTGGCCAACTCGGCGGAGAAGGCCGGCGCTTAGCAGATCAAATTGGCCGTGATGCCAAGTTTGAGGTCAGTCTTAGACTTATGTGTGATGACTCCTGTTTCCCCTGCTAACCAATGTATAGAACGACTTGGAGTATATGGATGACAATGCATCCAAGTTGGCCAAAAGGGTTCATCGATCTGAGATTGACCTCAAGAACTCAACGATCAGTGACTTCCACAAGATGAACCGGATATTGGACAACTGCCCGCTTTGTCATAACGAAGACAAGGGCACGCCTCCTCTTGCGCCAGTGGTTTCCCTTGCGACCAGGGTCTTCCTCACACTTCCTACCGAACCCGAAATCAGTGAAGGAGGTGCTACTATCGTACCAATCCAACATCGCACTAATTTGATGGAATGCGATGACGACGAGTGGGAAGAGATCCGCAACTTCATGAAGAGTCTCACGCGTATGTACCACGACCAAGGTCGAGATGTGATCTTCTACGAGAATGCAGCCCAGCCACAGCGCAAGCGACATGCATCCATGGAAGTTGTGCCTTTACCCTACAGTCTAGGAGAAACCGCTCCTGCGTTTTTCAAAGAGGCAATTCTCAGTGCCGAGTCGGAATGGTCGCAGCACCGCAAGCTTATCGATACCCTTGCTAAATCAAAGCAAGGGTTAGGCCGGTCTGCCTTCCGCCGAACCCTTGTGAAGGAGATGCCCTACTTCCACGTTTGGTTTGAACTAGACGGTGGCCTGGGTCATATTGTGGAGGACGACAACCGCTGGCCTCGTGGAGATCTCTTTGCCCGAGAGATCATCGGTGGAATGCTGGATGTTGCACCGGACGTTATCAAACGACAAGGACGCTGGAACCGTGGTGATCGCAGGGTTGACGGATTCAGAAAGCGCTGGAAGAAGTTCGACTGGACCCGTATTCTAATTGAAAGCTAGTGAGCCTGGAAATAGCCCCTTGACGCACTGTATAGTACACATCCGGCTCAACCGTCGCGAGTTCCATTCCCGAAGTTGAAAACACGAAGTCTCCAATGTCCTCGAAATATTTTCTATTTCACACAATATCACAGTGGACTAGCATAAAAGCACCACTCATGGCCAGCATTTTAGTGTGTCAACAGATAACGACCTCGGCGTTCGTGCCGATGGCTGACATCGGTTAAGGTATCTGCTTCTCGGCCGATGTTTAGTAAAATATATAGTTATGACTCTTATTGTCTAATGTCTCTGTCTCTTGTTCCTTTGACTTCATTTATGTCTTCGAACCTCTTTTGCAACAACCAAGTCACTTATCATCTTGATCGAACTGCTTGCTTATCGGTAAGTTCAAATATGTCAAGAAAAGGCGTTGGGGTATTTCGACCCGAAGTAAAACTAGAGGGAAAATCTTTGAAAAATTGACTCAGAGTTAATGTTCTATCATTGCTATACATTCCTCGTCTGCTCAAATTCCTAATTGTCTGGATCAATACAGAATCAACTGTCCTCAATACCATCGGAATGGGTTCTACCGGCCCCAAGCCCAAGGTCCTACGCCTTGGAAGTATCGACCTGTACGTTCACCTCATTCTTTCGCACCATTGATATCCATTTCATGAAATCGACATTCTTCAAACACAGTGCACAGGCAGCCTGGAATGCATTGGGAGAGGTAGCACAACTAGTTGAGTCAGCGGCAACCACCCGAGCCGAGTTCATCCAAGAGTGCAAAGACGGCAAGCTGGATGGTGTTGTTGCGATATACCGAACAGTTGGGTCTTTGAGCCAAACGGGGCTTGTAGACGAGGAGCTAGTGAATGTGCTACCAAGCTCACTCCGATATATCGCGCATTGTGGTACGTTGAGCTTATGATATGAGTGCGCAAATGTGTATATGTTGACATGCAACATCTATAGGAGCCGGATATGACCAACTAGACGTTCATGCCTGCAGTGCGCGCAACCCCCCGATTCTGGTTTCCAATGTCCCAACTGCAGGGGACGATGCCACTGCCCGACGTGAACATGTTCCTGATTCTTGGTGCATTGCGCAACTTCAACACCGGCATGAACGCCTTGCGCGAGGGTAAATGGCATGGCCACCCGGCGCCTCCTCTCGGCCATGGCCCCCAAAGAAAGGTCCTTGGGATTCTGGGAATGGGTGGTATTGGACGTAATTTGAAGAAAAAGGCAGAGGCCTTTGGGATGAAGGTTATCTATCATAACCGCCGCAAGCTCAGTGATGAGATGTCAGCGGGTGCGAAATATGTTTCTTTTGATGAACTCCTGTCCACCAGTGACGTGATCAGCTTAAACCTGCCATTGAATGTAAGTGATTTCCTGTTTCAAAAGAGAAGCAAGTGTGGTATGATACTAATCGCTTGAAGAAAAACACACGCCATATCATCGGCAAGGCCGAGTTCGCTAAGATGAAGGACGGCGTGGTAGTGGTCAACACTGCGCGCGGCGCTGTCATGGACGAGGCTGCTCTGGTTGATGCCCTCGATAGTGGTAAAGTGTTCTCGGCTGGTCTCGACGTCTTTGAGGAAGAGCCTCGGATTCATCCTGGGTTGCTCAGTAACCAGAGTGTAATTCTGGTTCCCCATATGGGCACTTGGACTAGTGAGGTGAGTTGTGTATTTCCCCATAAGTATGGTGTGAAACTGACTTGCCAAAAGACATTTTTTGCCAAGGAAGAATGGACAATTGAGAACATCCGTATGGCTCTTGAAGTTGGAAAACTAAAGAGCCCAGTTCCGGAACAGGCGGACCTTTGAAGACAGGCTTTTGAAGAGTCTGGGGCAAAGTTATTTTGATCGTCCATAGCATAGTGCATTGTATCTAAGAATTAGCTGAAACTTGAAAACTGTTGAAAATTAGTATGTATGGATAGATGGTGGTCCTATTATCAATAGTGTAGCTAGCTAGAAAATGAGTAGACGTTGCTAATTCCCGGGACTAAAGGAACTTAATAAGAATTACAACGATTAGTATACTCCGATAGATATTGATTGGCTATATATACAAAGAGTATCAACGACCGTAGGAAAGGTGAAGTAAGAAAGGACACTTGGTCCAACATAGTCGCGACAACAGACTACCATGCTATGGAGTTGACGTTGCCTCTCTTAATTCAGACTCAAGTCGCATTGCCTCACCCAAAGCATTCATAAACTCGCCCCCTTCAGCTTCCCCCAACGGAAGTAATGGCCTTCGCGGGGCAATCCCATACCCATGCATCTTGTTTAATGCATATTCTACATGTAATCAGCCTAGTACCCTCGAAAGTCTTTAAGGATATACTCACTCATAGCCCGAATACCACCTGGAACCGCAGCAGCATCAGCCCGCGCAAGAATCGCCTGAATCTTTCTCGCTTCATTGCGTTCCGTCTCTGTTGGGGATGGCAAATTCAGTAGTGACCAGAGCCTCATAGAAGCCACTGGCACAAAGTTAGGAATACCGCTCACAGTGCCATGACCAGCACATTGAATCCAGGGGGTCAGATCCGCAATAAGGCCGTCCAGTAAAAGAAAGGGGAATTTCCGAGTCCCATTTATTGTGGTATCTTCGGAGATCAGCGCTTGAAGACGGATCAGCTTCCCCATGCTTCCACCGCATCTGTTCTTATCAGCGCTGTCAAAATGAGAGTTGCTAAGAAGGCTAAAACTCACGTCAACTTCACTCCACATAAGTTAGATGTTTTCTTCATAATTGCGCTGATAACTTCTGAAGACATATCCTGGCCGCCAGCGTTGGATGGGAAGTTGTATAGCAATAGAGGAATCTATCACTTCATTAGCAATGATGCATTTAGTGCGTTATGGACAACCCATACTGGCGATGCTTCGCAAATATCCACATAGTATTGAATGACTTGGTCCATGTCTGTGTTCAGACTCGCGGCATAATAGGCAGGTAAAATAACCATACCCGCATCTCTGTCATTGTTAGAAGGAAGATAATCGCCGGAATTCAGTATTCACTTACGCCCCGGCATCTGCAGCAGCTTTGGAGAGACTAATAGTCTCTCTGGTACTGAGTCCTCCTACACCAGCGACTATGGGGGTAGATTGCAACCCTTCCCCATCCAGAGTTTCCCTGATGAAGCGGATAAGGGATACACGCTCATCGAAATCCTAAGACCATCAGTACAATCATCCAAAGGCATGATAGGAAAGAACCAAACTCACCAGGTGAACAGCTTCCCCTAACGACCCAGCACATACTGGTACTAAACACGTAGTCCCATTAATATGTGGTTTCATAATACACGCTCAAACAACTTACCCATGCCGCGAGTGACCATAGCTGTGGTCGGTGTCAGATAAGTTCATGTCATTGGTAATTTTCAATAAGAGCCCTATCTTACCTAGTAGATGTCTCCGATAGCTGTCATAGTCAATTTCTTGGTGTTCATCAAAGAACGTGGGTAGTGGCACGTATACTCCCGGCCGTAGTGGCCGTGTAGAATATGTCATTTTAAGATAGCAATCACTTGAATAGTCGCCACAAAGTCAAATTCCAGATTTTCAGATTGGCTCAACCTTCAATCTTTGACGATCCCTCGTACCTTTGAGGAGGGCGAGCGTCGGGAGCATCGGTCTCTACCCGCTGATAAGACAGGCGCGGGAAATCTCGGTTCGACCCGCATGCCACGGTGATGAACCTTGTAAGAGCCTTATCTCGAAGATAAGTTTGATTTAACCTTCATGTGGCGTTTTTGTAGATGGCGTTGATAATCACATATGTATATAGGATCATCCAATCCTTTTCCAACGAAAGTAATTCATTCATCGACAACCAGCTAGGTTGAACAATATGCAGCACGATGTGAGATATATCTCTTTCGGGAGTAAGATTCATGGTTTTTATATTAACCGACATTTCAGAAAACTAAAGAAATGGCTTATGATGCCAACGAAGTCCCCGTCGGCATGGGAACTACCCAAGACATAGGTAGTAGCAATCATGGTCTCCAACGACAGCTTAGGGTACGTCGACCCACACCTTTTTGATGGGAACAGGGATGAACTAAAACTTAATATAGCCACGGCATCTGTAAGTGCCAGCACACGCGGGACTTGATATATAGGGACTCACGATTCGATATAGACAAATGATTGCCATCGGAGGTGTTATCGTCAGTCATCCGTCCTACTGTCACTTCAATTCACTTTCATGCTGATGAGTTCCTAGGGTACTGGCCTCTTTCTAGGCACAGCGAGTGATCTCCAGCATGGTGGTCCAGCTGGTCTTCTTATTGGATACTGTATTATGGCTTCGTTGCTATACTCAGTAATGGTAAGGCAACTGCCGACTCTTTCAAATCTTCCAAAAAGACTGACGACCATCCGCAGGTTGCTCTCGGTGAGATGGCATCGCAATTTCCCATTCCTGGCGGTCAATTCGCTTTGGCTGGCCGGTTCACCTCGCCCGAGCTTGGATTTGCTATGGGTATCCTGTTCTGGTATAAGTAAGTGAAGTTGTATTCTGAACTATGAGAACCTGGACTTACAAACGCTTTAGTTATATTGGTACGACTATTCTGGCTTGTTCTGGGAAAGCAGGATGCATCTAACTAATTTCTCCAGTTGTCTTACCGGCTGAAATTTCCGCTGCGGCTCTTCTGGTCACATTTTGGACTCCGGCAGGACAGACAGATTCTACATGCACTACTGGAATCTGTAATAATGCCATGTGGGTTGGGCTGATGCTGATCGTTGTGGTATGATTTTGTGCAAATAATTGGACTACAAATGATACTGATGATCATCTAGTTTGCTATAAACTATGCGGGAACACGAGTCTTTGGTGAGATGGAATTCTGGTTTTGTTCAATCAAGGTAAGATAAGAAGAGCGCAGCCTCAAAAAATGGAGAGAGAACTGACATTTGATATAGATTGTGACTATCATTGGCCTTATTATTACTGGTATTATCATTAGTGCCGGTGGCGGACCTAACCACGAGGCAATCGGATTCAAATATTGGAACGAGACTGGTGGATTTGTACAGTATGAAGGAATTGGTAAGTCGATCAATTCAATACCCACTTACTGGTATCTAACATTCAATAAAGCCGGTTCGAAAGGACGGTTCCTCGGATTTTTCAGCGGTGAGACCAGTTTCGAACTATCAGCTCGTACCGAATAACTCATCGGTTTATAGTTTTGATCAATGCTGCATTCGCATTCATTGGATCTGAGATTACGGCAATTGCAGCTGCTGAGACTTCCAACGTAAGAGTTTGTCAACCCGATCGCGAGTTCCTTTCACTTACATCATATTACAGCCACGAAAGAATGTGCCGCGAGCCATCAAGAGTGTTTGGATTAGGCTTGTACTCTGTGAGCTCAGCTATTTTGTTTCCCAGACGTCAATTCACTAACTTCCCTTCCCTTCAATCCAGTCTATATCTGCAGTGCTTTCTTGGTAAGTTTCAAAACCCAACGATTACTTGCAGTCTACTTACAATCCCAGATCGGAATTCTCGTGTCTCCCTCCGATCCTTCTCTTAATCTTACTTCTACTGCAGCCAAGAGTCCCTTTGTTATCGCTATCCAGGTAATTCACCGTGCAAACCCTTACCCAGGGCTGAAAAGCTAACATATCCCAATAGAACTCCGGGATCTCGGTCCTCCCTTCCATTATTAATGCAGCCCTTCTCACTAGCGCATGGTCTGCCGGTACAGCTGATCTTTTTGTCTCATCAAGAACCCTCTACGGACTAGCAACCCGCGGACATGCCCCAAAGATCTTTCTCAAGACTCGAGCAGATGGGTTCCCCTGGGTCTGCTTTCTTTTCTGTGGTGTTTTCTCTTTCCTCTCATTTATGGCCGCCGCCCATGGAGAAGCGGGCACAGTGTTTGGCTATTGTGAGTGGACATCTTGAGGAAATCTGTGCTAGGCTATGAAGCTAACATCAATGAAGTCTCTAACATGACTGCGATGTGTGGTATGATCTCCTGGACAGGGATCTTGTGGACCAGCATCCGTTGGAACAAAGGTCTCAAGGCGCAGGGCATCGATCGAAAGACACTCCCATTTATGGCACCTCTTCAACCATATCTTTCATACTGTCAGCTTCCAAATTCTCTATTTCGTGCGGAGATACTAATTTATGTGACGGTTTAGATGGAATTTCAGTTTGCGTTATGGTCATCATCTTCGGCGGGTTTGGTTCCTTCAGTGAGTTCGCAAGATATGAAGCACCTCTTCCACTTACTGATCTCCTTCAAAGTGCCGAGCTTTGACGCTTCCTCTTTTGTTACTACTTACTTTCCAATCCCGTTCTTTGCCGTCCTCTTCTTTGGATACAAGTTCTGGACCAAGTCAAAGATGGTCGATTATGCAGAGATGGACTTTGTCACCGGCTCTTCGAGCGAGGTTATCGAGAAGGTTAGTCCCATCTTAACTCAAACCTTTCATATAATTAATAGTTGGCCTAGGAAACTGCCCAGAATCTGTGGCAGAAGATTTCCGACAGAATCTAGATCATAATTCTCTCGCGTCGACTATGTTTGTTTAACAGGACAATCTTATTTTATTGCTATATAAATTGCCAATCTGCTTCTTTCAATTTGAATCATGTATTGTCTCTGTCTCTCTCACTGAGTTGTAGTGGGCCCTGTATCAAGTTTCTCCGAACTATACTCCGTCAGGCCTACCAAACCTGGCACAACGTGCCTTGTGGGACGATAAGGAAATTTAGCAATGCGATATCGGGATATTGTCCGTAATCAAATGATAGCGATAGAATCCTATCTCAAACAACGTTGTGGCGGACAGATAAGCGGCACTAGCCGATGGAGTCGGCTAGAAAGCCGTGCGTGCCGCACGTTGTGCCTTACTATGCCAATGCGACACCTAAATTTTGTAACTGACACTATTGAGAGTATGGCGCCTAAATTTGATTTGGTTGTGATTAATGCGACAGTTATGACTGCCAGCGACATCAGCCACGGGGCTTTTGGTGGTTTGACAGATTTACGGTCGCTAACGAATTAAAGCAAATGTTGCAACTTGTATCGGGGTCAAAGATGGAAAAATCCAATCTCTTGCCAATGCATTCACAGAGGATGAGTTGGCAGGAGCTGAGATTATATATGCTGAGTACGTACTCTGCGAATCCCAGCGGAATACACAATTAACTCGAATACAGGCACTTCTGTTAAGGTTAAAGTGTCAAATAAGCCGCGAGGCCCATAAATAAGACTTTCATGAAAGCCTCAACACCGAGGGTATCGGCAGCAAATCAGCGTCCGAGATGTTATCAGAGCAAATATCCCCAGATTGGCCCTTTTTTTTGATCTGATTCTTTAAGATGTGTTTTCTCCTAGTCCAGCACCAAACAGCAATGTCCTTCAATGCCAACTGGTCAGACAATCAAACAGATAATGAGCGCCCTGCTAAGGTGCGTCGGATTGCCCGGGCTTGTCTACAAGTGAGTATTGCGTATTCAACATAGAAACGCAGTACTTAATATAGGCGCTTTAGTGTCACACACGGAAACAGCGATGTTTACCATCCGACGTATCCAATCTACAATTACCATGCAAGCGATGTCAAAGACTAAGCATCACTTGTTCATTTGAGACAGATAGAGCACCAACATTGGACCTGACTCAAAGTCCATCGGGTCTAGCACAACTGGTAATTGAACTTCAAAATAGGTGAGACTGAAAATTGCGACTCAGTCAAGAGCAGACGCTAAGACCAGAAGCAGACTCAACCAACATGAAACCCGAATATTTGAGCTTGAAAATCAGAAGAATCCATTTGACCACAATACAAAAGAAAGACCCAGAGACATTCAGCCTGAGCATCAAGAAGCTCTTCCGAAATGTCAAAGCAACATATATGATTCTCCCGAGTCAAGTATCGACGGAATCCATCTAGGTCCTCCTATCGCAACACTGCGATCGTTAAGAGTGCTTGCGGAAGAGAGAGTTGATGAGTCAACTCTGAGAGCGCAGAGATACAAGAACATGTACGATCCTATTTACCAGGGGCTCCTTACAGCCGAAGAGGTCCGGCGAGCAGTTGAAATGTATTCTACAACTCCATCTGGGAAATATGCCACCTACTGATATTCAGCAGATTCTTTGATCATTGCCATCACTCAGCGCCTGTATTAGATGAAGGTATTCGGGATACATGGCATGAATATCTTCAAACAAGCCCAACACTTATTTTGACAATATGCTCAGTTGGTACCCGGTTCTGGGATATAGGTGATCAAACGTGAGCGAAAATTTCTAGACCCAGAAGCCAGGCTAATAACACTCGTGTGCAGTGACGATTCTATTGTCGGTCATCCCCGATTTTATGATCTGACAAAATTACTCGACAAAGCGGTCTCCAGGCTCCTACTCCGGCCCACCCCATCAGATGTCAATTTAGATTCTATCTGTGTGCTTCTTCTCTATGCCCAGTGGATGCCATGCAGCAAAGAGGGTGAAGATGAGGATTCTTTGCGCCCGAGTACCTATGACGAACCCAAGACCAAAAGCCGGTACAACGAAATCAGTGCTTGGGTTGTCTTGGGATTAGCAGAGCGATACTCTGCCCTACTGGGCCTCGAACAATCAGCCACATCACTATTCAAACCCCCTGACAAGGTACCATCCATAGAGGATGTGAAAAAGCTACGAGTGTGGTACAACTTGCTCACATGCAACTTCAACCTCATGCTTACATCCGGTCTACCCGCATCAATTGATCCTAGTCCATCGGTCCAGGTGGCGTGGAGGTTTGTCTCTCATGAGCTGATGCAGTCCCCTGCGGACCTTCGGGTAAGGGGACTTGTGGAACTTGTCGGAATAGTTCACCTTGCTATGTCTAGTTCTGGGGATATATCTGGCCGTCGGTTGCAACCGAGTTGCTTGCAACGGTTGAATAGTGATTTAGATGATTGGGAGAGGCAAGTGAATCTTCCTGGAGTTATTTTTGATCTTACTAACGGCTCGCAGATCTTGGTTTTCTCGTTTAGGTGCGTTCATATGGCATCCTATCCTCACAGTTATTAACAATCACCAGAGAAATCACAATCCCATTACAATCATTTGCCATTCACTTCGGCCCGGGTATGCAGTTACCTAACTACATCTATTCAGGAACTTAATCTAACCTGCGATGTAGTGGTACCGACTCTCCCTCAATTGTGCATCCCTTGCACCACTACTTTCTTCCCCACGGGTACATCGGTCGACAGATTTAAGTAAACCACATGTTCAACAAGCGCTTTCAGTGAGCTTGACTGCAGCAGCGCAGATAATATTAGCACAATCGAGCTTCAAGCCAGATATTGTATTCTCGCTGGATTCGCAGGAACTATCTACCTTTCCCGGTGGGACATACAATGTGGATCGTGCATCCGTGAGTCGATTATACTATGCGGTGGACTCGACCTGGATTTCGCATACGTTCGCTATCATCTTTTTATGTCTTTGCTATATTCGGGGCATCATCGATGGTGAGATATTCATATAGATATTTTGACGTGATGATCTGAGTCCATCAATAACTGACAACATGAGAAACAGAAAACCTACAAATTTGCAGCGAAGACTCTAGTCAAGGGAAAGGGAAATTATGTACACGCCTTCCTTCCTCGTCTTCTTCGGTTCTCGCTCGACTCCTTCTCCTTGCGATAGACATCTTCGACAGTGTGTCTCTGGCCACAAGATTCCATTTTGCGCACGACTTCCAAGCCATTGTTCACTATACAGTTGCTTTGGTGCTAATCTCTGAAAAGAACGAGCAGCATATCGAGGAAACGGAGATTGATGATATGGCAATCCAGTCTCTACTGGATTTGATGAATGATTCTGGTGTTGACTGGGCAGGGAATCTTTTCGGGGAGTCGCTTGATTTCCCAGAGTTGAATATGGACGGGATGCTTTCATGATTGATAGTAGAATATCATAGCTTTGCAGAACAAGGCCTATACGAGAATTTCGATACATAATTAGTATCGAGAGGAAGTCGTAATCTATACAATAGAACAAACTTACCTATCAGCATCATCCAACTCGAACAAAATATCTTGCGCTCCCTCCCAAAGCACCAGCTCACCCAGTGCCTTTAGGTTTTCCATTCCCTCAACGATAGTCAAGAAATGATTTGCCGCCAGCGGTCCCATCTTACTTGCAAAGGCAACACCTCCATAACAGAACAGAATCTCGGTTTCGGAGATACCACCAGGATACAATAGAATCTGACCCGCAGAAGGGTGAGCCGTATGATTCTCAAACGGTAGTCCGAAATCAGTTTCTCCTAATGGGATCCACATACCCTCCCCGCTCCAACGAACATGAATGAGTTTCTGGCGATATGGGAGGAGAGTGCGGAAGAGGGCCACCGTTTTGGGAGCTGACGATTCGAACCTCGCACGGAACCGGTATGGACCGGCTTTTATTAGGATGGAGGTCATTATGGTGATATGAGAAGAAGTAAAATAATTAGCCTTTCTCACAGGTAGGAAATGCTGTCCTATTTGAGTGGCCGTAGCTCTTGCATCGGCATCTTCGGGGTCGGGCCGCGCGGGCTTGAAGCCGCGTGCGGGTTTATCTGGAGATATCAAAAACGAGGAGTGCCTCTCAAATCAAGAGATCAACTCACTTCGCAATCCAATGTCTGACGATATGCATAACTTGGTGGACGATATGCACGTCTTGGTGTACGATAACACATGTCCATCCCGGACAGGTGCTCAAGAAACGATCCAAGCAGGCACATTGTCTATCCGCCCAATACTCCACTCGGAAGATTCATTCTTTGGTGCCGAAGTATACGGCGTTGATTGGAGCAAACCTGTTTCAGATGATGTCGTCGCGCAAGTGAGTTAATATTTGAGAAGTTGGAAGAAACCACTGACAAGATGCTAGTTGATCGCTTTGCAAGACAAGTATGCAGTACTGATCTTTCGAAAGACGGGGCTAGACAATATTCGGCACATTGCATTCTCGCAACAATTGGGCGACAAACTAGAAATCAATCCGTTCTTTTACGGACGAGAAAATGACCGGTTAGGTGAACCGTTACTCTTCGACGTTGCCAAGTGAGTATTCCACGTTCAAACTTAAATATATATCACATTCTGATCAGAATAGCATCGAGCAAGATGGTTCTCTGGTGAAGATGGATAGTCGCAGGTACTACCACAGTCTGGGCAATGCGCTATGGCACACTGTAATCATTATCGTCCCCAACAAGCCACATGGGTACTAACACAACCTAGGACTCCACATATCACCAACATCGGTCCAAGTATTCCATACTGCTTTCTCATGGAAACCCAGTCGAAGGCGGATCATGGACCCATTTTGCAGACACACGTCGTGCGTACAGTGATCTACCCCAAGCGAAAAAGGACGAGATTGAGAACCTCGTTGTCGAGCACGAGTAAGCCAGCTGTTTCGAAATCTCCCCGTGTCTGAAGCTAACTTCATTAAGTCTCTGGCATTCCCGAAAGCTCGCGGCACCAGCTGTGTTTGGAAATCCCCTTCCTCACGAACTGGCAGCCAAACCACCGGCCTACCACCGTCTCGTGCAAACAGCACCAGACGGGCGGAAAACATTGTATCTGGCGGCGCATGCCAAACGGATCGTTGGAAAGGATATTGAAGAGAGCCAAAGGCTGATTTGGGAGTTGATTAAACACTGTACACAGTCAAAAGTGAGTTCAAGTCAGCCGTATTCTGTTAAAATCCAGGGCTAACTAGAGCAGTATGTCTTCAGCATGGAGTGGTTGTCTGGGGGCGATATGGTCTGGTGGGATAATCGGTAAGTCTCACGCGTCTTATATTATTCTTTACTGATTTTTATAGCCAATCGATGCATCGTGCCAACCCATATACCGCGACGATGACTGCGAGGGATGTTCGTCGTTCTACGATCTATGATGATGGACCGTGGGCTTTGGGCGTCTCGACGGCAGAACTGGATTAAATCACGCCTATACTCTGCCACAGCACCCATAAACCTATGCTATGATCTAGCATGATCCCAGATTGTCATGGAAACGCGATTTCAGAAATGAACCCTTTTATCACTCTCTCTCTCTCTCTCTTTGCTGTTTACTTATAAACCCGATAATACGTGATCTGTTGTCGTCGTCCTCTTTGCCTGTTTGGTAGTCCCTATTTCTCTCCACAATACAGAACTCTTTCCGCTTTGCAGACAGACTATAACCTCGAGCAGGACTGCCGGTTTTGTAATTAGTCTCCGAACTGGAAATTCTTGGTCGGAAGATTGATAGCTCTTATAAGACTTAATATGACAATGTCCCGAGGTCTTAGGGACAACTTAGTAATAAGCACATGTCACTGACCTGAGCATCCTTTGCTGAGATCTGCTTAGTCCCATAGAAGTGGAGGTAGCCCAAATAGTACAAATATACACGGAGTACTCGGTAGAGAGAGCTATGTTCCTAGGTGGTGAAGGGAAGTTCCGGTTGATTGGCCAACGGAGTGGGGTAACTACGTAGCTTTCTGCCGGGCAATATCAATGCGATCAAAGTCTCGATCAATCCACCTTCTCTCATTTCAAATCAGTACTCCGTCATGTCTGAATTCTGGAAATCAGCAGTAAGTGTGAAATTTACCTGTCTAGAACCCTGCTGACTATTTCACAGCCGCGCTACTGGTGCAAACAGTGCAAGGTCTTCATCCGTGACACGCCCTTCGAAAAGACCCAACACGAAGCCAGCCCAAAACATCAAGGCAATCTCAAGCGCTTCCTTAGACAAATACACAATGACAATGAACAAAAACAAAGAGACTCACAACGCGCGAAAACCGAAGTCGAACGATTGCGACAGGCTGTCAGTGGCGGGTCCTCCACCGACAAAGACAGCGCGAAAGGAAACGCACCACCAGCCCCTAAACCCGCAGACCGGCCTGCTTCCCTAGAAGAGCGAAAGAAACAGATGGCACAACTCGTGGCAATGGGGGTCGCCGTCCCCGAGGAATTCCGCGCTGATATGGCCTTAGCAGGGGATTGGCAGACGACATCTGAGACAAGGATCGAGGTCCAGCAAGGATTAGAAGGCCCCACAAAATCAGTTGGAATACGCAAGCGCAAACTTGAAGGCGAAGAGGAGGAGGATGAGCATGCGCCTGAACCTATTATCAACAAAGGTTGGGGCTCGAGGATGAGGCAATACCCCGGTGCACAAGAGGACGAGGGCTTGGATGACTTGATTGCATCCACAAAGGATATTAAGAGGACGAAAATCTTCATCCCGAAAGTCGAGCTTGATGAACAGGAGACAGCTACTGAACAACCTACCCCCACCGCAAAGACAGAAGATGATTCTTTCAAGCCAGAGGCTCAAGAGACGAATGAGTCAACCGAGGTCAAGACTGAAGAGCCCGCTCAATCTTCAGTAGAGCCAGTTACTGAAGAGAAGCCGCAAAGTGAAGATGCTACGCCTGGTGTCGTCTTCAAGAAGCGCAAGCCGAAGACAATGAGGAAATAGTCCCACCCTGAGAGGATGTGATATCCGCAAACTTCTTTGTCGTGGCCTCACATTTAAATGCAAGTCCATACCATTGAGAATCCTAATCTCTCGGATCCTTCTACATCCGACTCCTATCCACTGGCCCATGACCCCGCGAGTCTCCAAGTCTGCAACTATGTGGCTTCAAGCAACAGGCACACAATGCACGACTTCCACTGCTCCAAGCGATATCAGAGATGTACCACATTCTTTAGCAAAAGACTTGTGGCAGAATATTGCTCCCCAGAATGTACACTTCGAACCCATTCACCCAGAGGATCATTCGCAAGCTTAAGCCTTCTGTGTTGAATGCCTGTCTTTCAAACGCGTCTCCTATTCATTGGCACACGTGCACGTTTGAAGCGGACCTTTGACCATGCAGGGCTAACTCATGCCAGCGCCTCTTCCCAGGACAATCTATAGCTTTCATGGATGGTCCATGGATCTAGACTAGAAGGGCTGTATGCGACACTATTAATTCGACCCTATGTTAATCGAATTCCAAATAAGACAACAGTATCAGCAAAGCATTCACAAAACAAATAAAACAAGTGTAAATAATGTAAATAATGTGCAAAGATCAGATATCAAACTTCGGAATATGCAATGTTGGGGTAGAAAGCGGTGTTTGCCACTATAATTTTTTTTCCTTCACAATCAAAGCGGAGAGTTTCAACGCCGGAAAGGAAAGCTCCTTAAGCCTCTCTTTCGCGCTTTTCTTGACCCGCGACCCTCGCATCTGCATAGTCTACCCGCGATTTGTGCTTCTGTCGATCTTATCTTAAAAATCTATCTACCTGGTAAGTCTTTGAAATTCGAGCAAGTCGCGATCCCCGCAGGCCCTGCCAATCCCTCGACCAATGCGCACCGTCTCGCGCCGGAGCCTCACCCCGTGCGATACGATGTCCAGTATTCCTGCTGTCAAACGAGGTCATTGCGTGCTAGATTCTACCTCGCGATGCTTTTCCGAGACCCCGTGGGAGTTGTTGACAGATGGTTACATTTGAGGTTGGTCGGCCACCGCGAATGCGACCTACAAAACCTCGATTGACTAGCAGGATATCTGGACACGCCATGAGGTCTCTATATCATATGGACATTCGTACAAATGCACAGTCCTTGCGCTCAGTACATATCCTACATATGGTTTATCCGCCGATTGGATTTAAAGACGTGGAAATGGAGGGCCTGCGCTAGCATAGTGCTTCTTTCCTGACGATGTTGATGATCGACATCGAGGACTCTATCACTCTCCGATGCGGGAAACTGACGATAATGCTGGCCGAGTATTTTGACTAACATATGCTGGACCCCACAGATCATAGGGAATAAATGATTTCTAACTCCCCATCCGTTCGACCTGGTGTGATTTCTTCGCTCAGCCACAAACCAGACGACCTTTGACCTTGCCTAATCGACTACTCCTTTACTCAAGACCTTGTCTTCGAAGCCTACTTGCAAAATATCTACCAATTCTCCCCTCCGATCGAGACTTTCATTGGGAGGCTGTGAATTCCAGTATGGCGGAGCCGACGGACTCGAGCGCCCCGCCTGGCGAATCCACCAATCCTGCGACCGAACCGAATGCGCCAGCTGTTGAGACAGAACAACCTTTATCCCAGAATGAGCCGTTACCAGCGGAAACGAATCAACCCATTGTGGAAACAAGTCAAGAACCGGTGGCGCCAACCCAACCAGCTGAACCAGCTCAACCAGCCCAACCAACACCGTCAGAGCCACCAGAACCACCAGTTGAATCAGCAGTGCCAGAGGTGCTGCCACCGAAAGTGCCACAAATACCAGAAGTATTAGCAACACCAGAAGTGCCAGCAGCACCAAATTCGTCCGCCGCAGGCCCACCACAGGATGCCAGCACGTATCAGCCAGAAGAAGCTACCCAGCCAGCACAAGGTCCAGATGTGACTTTACCGTCTGTGGAATCATCACTTCCAGCGATTGATCCATCACTTCCACCCATGGACACATCAAATGGCTTCGACGATTCGGAATTGCAGTCCTTTGATGCGTTGCCTTCAATAGGTTCATCTGCACCTCCCGACATGTCACTTCCTGCGATTTCCCTCGACCATTCCTTACCAGCGATTGGAACTGATGATATCCCAACAATGGATGGCCATGATTTCGGCGATAGTAGTCATTTGGACCATCATGATTCGAACGCGGGCATGGCGGACTCTACGGGTGGGCACGACAATGGGGCTGTGAATGGGGCATCTCACTTTCATTCAACCAACGGTTCCTACCAATATTCGCATAGTCCTGCTCAATCCCAACAACCAGGAAGCCATCAATCACCACAGGCGCATACCCACCAGTTTCAGACACAGCCGCAACATTATCAAAACGAAATGTATCACAATTCCGGCTCCCAAGGACAGGTGCCACAGGCACCGATTGGATCGCCGCTCCCAAACAATATGCCTCCGATGGCTTCTATGGGACAATACATGACGGGCTATCCCTCCAATATGGGGAATGCGCAAATGCGATATCAACTCCCGGGGGACCCGAACAAGATGTTATCAGGCAATAGACACAAGAAAGAAGTCAAGCGACGCACAAAAACCGGTTGTTTAACCTGTCGCAAACGAAGAATCAAGGTGAGCGCAAATGTAGTTTTCGCGGGGCGGAGTCGCTCGCTTGTGCCCGCCAGACCCCGCCATTTATTTTGCCTTAAATCCACCTCCCTCTCAATCTCCAACTTCTTTTTTTTTATCGGCTTTTTTGGATATTTGGCCATTTTCACGTCTAACTCGATTTCAGTGTGACGAAGCACATCCGGTCTGCAGAAATTGTGTGAAAAGCAAACGTGAATGTTTGGGCTACGATCCTGTGTTTCGGACTCAAGCATCTACACCTTCAGCTATTCAACCAGCTCCTAACCCTCCTCCTTCGCTGATTGTCAATCCTCAAGGACATTCTACTTCATCAGCACCTTCATACCCTTCATATCCTTCTGCTCCTCCCGGGTACATGCCCGCTTCGTCTCAACCATTTGCTCCTTCCCTTCAATCCGAATCGCCCACTGCCTCTACCGACCAACACGAGCACAGAGCTTCCATCGATTCTTCTTTGGCAACGAACCATCAATCCAATCATACAGAAATGCAGAACACTGGCGTACCACGGCAACAGGGCTCAGAGCCTTCATACAAAGGTGGGTTCATATAATTTGTTTCTTCATCTGCACATTGCAGCATTATGCACGGGTCGCTAACAATCCATTCCACAGCCAAAAATCTCTACGTCAACGACCTCTTTTCTTTGAGGGGAATTGCTCCTCCTCCCCCTCACCCTGTCGCAACTCTTCCACCCGGTCGCCTCGAAGAGATCCAAGCAGTTTTCCTGGCCACCTACGCACCTGCGATCGACAAGCTTCTTGAGGTTCGCTGGTATTCCGAAAATGCTCTCTCATTACTCATGGCCG